GGGCAGGGACACCATTCCTACCCCCTGGCTAATAGCACTCCATGGACCCCACCTCCATGACTTTATCTCATTTCTCTTTAAACTCTGTTCTAGTTGTAGCCTTCACAGCCTCCTGCAGCAAGGAGTTCCACAGGTTGACTCTTTGCTTTGTGAAGAACAACTTTCTGTTACTAGTTTGAAGCCTGCTACCCATTCCTTTCCTTTGGTGTCCTCTAGTCCTTCTTTATGGGAACTAATGAAGAACTTTTCTGTATGCACCCTCTCCACCCCACTCATGCTTTTATAGACCTCTATCCTGTCCCCCCTCAGTCTCCTCTTTTCTAAACTGAAAAGTCCCAGTCTCTTTAGCCTCTCTTCATATGGGACCTGTTCCAAACCTCTGATCATTTTAGTTGCCCTCCCCTCTCCCACCCTCTCTTTTCCCCTCTCCCACCTCCTTTTCCCAGTCTCCCCGAGTTTTGTTCAATAAAGAGAGATTCTATTTTTGAACACAATTGTCCTTTATTTTGTACATCAGGAAGGGGGGCTAGGGAAGGGTAAGTGGAAGGAGGTGAGGGAGGAATGGGGTACGAGCCCCCGATGGGGAGGACTGGGCTGGCTCTGCGGGCTTCTGGGGGTGGAAGCTCTCCTGCAGCCCCCAATTGCCCCCTCTCCCCAGATGGCAGCCTGCGGCAAGTGCAGCCGGGCTGATGGCCGAGTGCTGTGATGTGCCCAGTGTGGGTACTGCGGGCACTCCAAGCCAGGACTGGTTTGCAAGAGGGGCACCCCTAAGAACTGTCTGTCCAGGGTGGGGGTCGGGACCCTTTAAGCGCAGCCCTCGGCTAGCCTGAGACAGCATCTCCATGCTCTAAGTCCTCCTCTGATGCCCTGCCGGCACTGCTTCTGGCCATCCTTAAGCCCGGTTCAGGGTCCACTTAATGTGGACATGCTAGTTTGAATTAGCAAAACGCTAATTCGAACTAGTTTTTAGTTCTAGACGCGTTAGTTCGAATTAGCTTAGTTCGAATTAACTAATTCAAACTAAGTTAGTTTGAATTAGCGCTGTAGTGTGGACGTACCCAGAGAGAGATTATAGCAAAATGCATATTCACATAGGATAATGTCTGCCCCTGTGTGGAGGAGGAGAGAGGGTATGAACTATATGTTTAGTATTGCTGAAGTCATTAATGGAAGGTACTCAGGTGATGATAATGCGGGCAGTATCAGAACCTACATAAACTAGAATATCAGCAGTTATACTTTCTGAACTTCTATCTGTTAAGAGATGTATCTGTTAAGGGGGTTTATGCAAGTAGATGGTTATCCAGAAGGTTTATTAACAAACAATCAATTTCTTAAATGTAGCTCTCCTGGATCTTCCTGTACAGCCTTCAACTGAAGTGATGGGTTTTGGACACAGCTCTACATCTGCATCACAGCACCTGCCATTTAGATTTTATGACCAATCACGGCGTGGCAGCTGTGACCCTACTGTACAACGATCCGTTTTTGCATCTGTTGACAAAGTCCCAGGTAAGATAGCACTTCTGATGATGTAAGCAGCTGTTCCAGATCAGTCAAATATGTGAAACATATGGCACAGCCTCTTGATCTTTTTGAGCAAAACCTCAACCCTCTCCAGAAATGTTTTTTCTTTCACTATATCTTTTTTAATTATCTTGTACTATTATATGTAACTTATTAAGAAATGAAACCATTCTATATTCCAGTGTTATATACAATTAAGTTGTTACTCTGAACCTCAGTCAGTGTGTCTCCTTAAATATAGATCTAATGGTTGGTATTTTGGCATCTGTCTTGGTTTTGGGTTATAAATAGGTCTATTCAAAATTTTCTTAGAATTACAACTTTGAAACTTCTTAGAAACACTCCAAATGTTACTAATCAAGTTGTGGTAGTTTCATCAGTAGTACAAAATGACTAGTTCAGGAGGGTGTGGTTACCCAAAAACACTGATTATAAGGAAAAGATGACTGCACATTTCAGTGTTATGTGGTGTAAACTTAAGATAGGTAAGATCCAAGCCTTTCAAAGCCCTGTTTCTAAAAATGGAAAAGCTGGTTTACAAGTTCTTAACTGAATAGCCCAGGCGTAAGTCTTTCCACCTTCAATAAATGGTGTGACAGTGCTTGTGCAGATGAGTATATACTTGATACCTGAAAGTTAGTGATATCTGGTTCTTATAGGAACACTTGCTATATAAATTATAACACAGGGTGTCCCTGCTATACATCCAAGATGCGTTCCAAAAAAGTGGACCTATAGTGAAAGGATGTAAAGCGGGAAATTTTTTTCTGCGGCTGACATCCATTTACACAAATTGGTCCTTTTTTTGTACGATGGAAGAGTGGAGAATGGGAAGACTTCAAACAGAACAGCTCCCTCAAGCATCAATTACACTAGTGAGGAACCAAGGCGACTTATAGCGGGGACACCCTGTAGCATATGGTCCTAAATTAGTTAGCTTTGTATAATGCAGTAGAAATATCTGTCAAATGACTATTGATACAACTTTAAAATATGTTAAAATTGCTTGTTAGAAGTCTAATGTAATTGGCTTCCATTTCCAAATGAAATGAAATAAAAAAGCTTCCTTTAAAGGTGTAGTATGCCTCTGTATCAGAGGAATAAACTCAGAAACTTCTGAGCAGATATACTCCAGGATGAGCCTTGAGGAAGAGTTGTTTAGTTAATCAATATAAGAACATAAGAACGGCTATACTCAGTCAGACCAAAGGTCCATCTAGCCCCGTAGCCTGTCTGCCGACAGTGGCCAGCACCAGGTGCCCCAGAGGAGGTGGATCGAAGACAATGATCAAGCGATTTGTCTCCTGCCATCCTTCTCCAGCCTCTGACCAACAAAGGACAGAGATACCATTTCTATCCCCTGGCTAATAGCCTTTTATGGACCTAACCTCTATGAAATTATCTAGCTTCTCTTTAAATTCTGTTCTAGTCCTAGCCTTCAAGCTTCCTCTGGCATGGAGTTCCACAGGTTGACTACGTGCTGTGTGAAGAAGAATTTTTTTTATTAGTTTTAAACCTGCTACCCGTTAACTTCATTTGGTGTCTTCTAGTTCTTCTATTATGGGAACTAATAAATAACTTTTCTTTATTCACCCTCTCCACACCACTCATGCTTTTATATACCTCTATTATATCCCCCCTTAGTCTCCTCTTTTCTAAACTGAAAAGTCCCAATTGCTTTAACCTCTCTTCATATGGGACCCGTTCCAAACCCCTAATCATTTTAGTTGCCCTTTTCTGAACCCTTTCCAAGGCCAAAATATCTTTTTTGAGGTGAGGAGACCACATCTGTACACTGACAATTATGAGTGACAATTAGTTACACATCACAATCATGTCCCGCTCCTTGTCTCAGAAGATCCTGAGTGGAAGGGTGCACCCCCAAAGATGAAACAGCTGGGGACCAGGTGTTGGAGCAATCACCACAGCGCCTTGCTAACGCAGTCCATGGCCTATGATTTCGCAGGTTTTAGAAACAAAACAGCTGATTTGCTAGAGGTCTGCAGCTTTGCTGAAATCCCAAGCCATATTCCCGTCCCCTTGCTGATTTATCACTGGAAGGCAAACCCCCTGCTCAAACCTGTAGTTATGCTATTGGGCTTCATACGGTCAGATTTGTTGTAGCCAAATTAGCCCCCATCATATTGTACGTATAGTTGGGGTTATTTTTCCCGATGTGCATTACTTTACTCTTATCCACATTAAATTTCATTTGCCATTTTGTTGCCCAATCACTCAGTTTGGTGAGATCTTTAAGTTCTTCACAGTCTACTTCTGTCTTGACTAAAGTTTGGTATCATCTGCAAACTTTATTACCTCACACCCTTGGGGGACACCACTAGTTACCCCTCTCCATTCTGAAAATTTACCATTTATTCCTACCCTTTGTTTCCTGTCTTTTAACCAGTTCTCAATCCATGAAAGGACCTTCCCTCTTATCCCATGGCAATGTAATTTACAGAAGAGCCTTTGGTGAGGGACCTTGTCAAAGGCTTTCTGAAAATCTAAGTATACTATATATACACTGGATCCCCCTTGTCTGCATGTTTAACCCCTTCAAAGAACTCTAATAGATTAGTAAGACAGGATTTCCCTTTACAGAAACCATGTTGACTTTTGTCCAACAAATTATGTTCTTCTACATGCTTCACAATTTTATTCTTTACTATTGTTCCGACTAATTTGCCCGGTACTGAAGTTAGACTTACCGGTCTGTAATTACCAGGATCGCCTCTA